GCACTTGCTTTCAGTCAGTCTAGTCAGTCTCCCTATGATGCAGTTTACATTTTACACAGCTGAAGTCTTTAGAAAACTTTGGAATACGTGATCTTGCCTTAGCCAAGCCCCACCTACCCTCTTTGGTGATCTTTTTACTCAACGTTTTGTTCCTTTTAGTGTTGATATGAGGTCTGAGTAGTAATTAGATATCTAAACAGTTATCCAAGGATATCAGGTGTCCTGCATAGTGGTAGCACCTCTTGCAGTTCCCAGCAGTTAAACAACATTAAAATAYTATGGATGCATTATTCGTGACCTGCCGCTGCAATTATTATGCAGTGATATGTAACATATATGACATAATATTATATAACACTGCAATTATTATGTGGCTTCTTTTATAGAAGAAGCATCTGCCCAATATTCTGCTAGTTTGCAGACTCTAAAATGATAAACRATGAAATAGCTGTACAAGGCTAATTTGATCTCTTATGAAAGAAAATATAGGAGAATATCTATARGAAATAAGTTATACTAATATCTATAGCGAGTGTGAGCAGCTCCTCTCCATGCAAATCATGCTYGGTTTCATCTAGTAAGTACTATATTGCAAGAGCTCACAAATAAAGACAGTAGAGGTGTTAAATCTGTCTGTTTTGAACAGGTGAGGCAATTTGCTTTTGTAATGAAGGTTTCAGGCCATCAGAGTGGGAAGCAAGAGCAACAACAGCAGTGGGCAGGGAAAGAACAGCATCACCAGAAGCACTGAGTGTGACTTGCAGGAGATGCCAAGGGTTGTGAGGTGGACCTCTGCTGAGGGTGGGTGTCATCTGCCCTGTTATAAAAACCTGTTATAAAAAAAGATTGGGTTTATTTATTTATTTATTGGTGCAGGGTGCAAATACAACCCCAGTGAGTATTAGAAAACACAGAGAACAGCGAGTGGTTCCAGGCTGTGCAGAAATTGCTTGCAAGGTAGTGCAAATCTGCTGCCCACCTTACTGACAAGCTAAACAGACCAGACGATGGTTAAACTCCCCTGCGGGGTTTCCTTCAGTGGTGATGCTCATTTAGACGATTAGATTTCTCAACTCTTTTTTTTCGTTGTTTGTTTTTTTGTTTTCTCCACYGCTAAAATTCAGAGCTTCGCAACTWGGGTCAGCGGAGTCACAATTTTTCTGTGGGAAGGGAATAATGAAGGCAYGGGATGTTCAGACAAGCACCAAAGGAAGAGGGTGAGTGTAGCTTAGAGCACAGAATGAATGTAAACAAAAAGAAGAAAAAAAAAATTGAATGTGTGAACAAAGAAAATTCCTCCTCTTTGTTTCTGTTGTGTTCAGAGAGAACAAACTTCACACATGTATGTTGTAAATAAACAAGGCAGAGTGCTGTCACATTATTGGGTTTTGCCTCCTACTCTAAACTGTGTTGGACCTGGATATTCATGAGACTTTGAGGTCACACGTGGGGCAATGGGCCTTGAGAGATTCACAATGAGTTCACAGATCCCTTCATAACTTGTCTATAAATGTGAGGATCTTGTTTCATCTCTCTGGGCCTTATCATCCCTGAAGTTCCCTCTTCCAAAGAGACTCATTCAGTTGCTGCTGGTGATTTTTTTCTTAACTTAGCTTTTGCTTCCCACTCCAACAGCCTGAAACCTTCATTACAAAAGTAAATTTCTTCACCTGGCTTAATATCTCTAGCCAGACTTAGCATCTCTGTCCTCTTTACTGGTGAGCTCTTGCAGTAGTATTTGCCAGGTAAGTGAGCAAAATTTGCATAGAAAGGAGCTGCCCATCTGAAGAATAAGAAAAACTGAATTCCTATAGACAAACATGCCTTTGCTTCCCTGTAAACTCCTGTCTAAGCCTTTTCAGTTCTATCATTACATAGATATTGCAAAATCAGACAACCTGCATTCATAGCATTTCCTATTTTCTGAGCTTATTTTTATTTTTATTTTTATTTTTATTTTTATTTTTATTTTTATTTTTATTTTTATTTTTATTTTTATTTTTATTTTTATTTTTTCTCCTGATCTCTAATACTCCTTTTGAAATGCTAGAAGTTATGGACAGAACAAACCATTCGAGATAAGATGTTCTGGACATTAGAGATGTTTTTTGGCTTTTTTTTTTTTTCCTGTGAAAGGGATGTAGTAATAACCCTGAATTCTTCAATGATAGTTAAGAAATGCTTTACTCTCTGAGGCTGCAGAAAAGGTAACACTGCTCATGCCATTTTCATTTTCATTTGGGAAGAAATCCAGGCTGATGTGTTGAAGAGTTTCTGGTTGCTCAGGACTGGAAAAGATGCAACCCATTTTCTGCAGTGTGAGAGTGCCCCCCAAACAGCAGCTCACAGAGGTCTGCATTCAGAGAAGATAGTGCTTGTATATATCCTTTATAGCTGAAAAACAGAGCATGGCCTCTCAAGGGAGCTTATCTAGGAGCAATTGAAAGGATATTATTTTTCTGAGACTTGTTTTATAAAGATGTTATCCTTGATGTTCTCCCCTCCTATCTTTAGTTCTGTAATTGAATATGACATGGTGAGCAATAGCAGAAATTCTGAAAAACTGCAAAGAAGAAACCAAGAAATTAGCATTTGGAAGGAAAAGGTGAGATTTTTGAATAGAGTTCCTTTTCTTCCTTTCAAAGTTAAATAAAATGGAAAAAAATATTGAAAGTCTGTATTAATTTCAAACACCTGGCTTGCAAATATACTCTTTCAAACCTCCTGAAATGGAAACAAATTTATAATCTTAGTGATTTACTTGCCCCTTTTTATAACCAGTTGCATTGTAACCCACCCTGGCTGGATCACCTTTGTGCGGAACATACCCAATCTGAAAACACAAAGGAATTATCTGTTGGCTAATACAAGAGCTAACTCTGATTAAGAATTGGCTAATACAAGAGCCAGCTATGATTAGAGCTGGCTATTATTTGGAGAAGAACCAGGTCTCTTTTGAAGAAGAAGAGACAGCTTAGTTTGGAAAAGGGAGCAATTTCATATTTATAAGCTCGGTAAAGGAGTGAGCATCTGTGGCCTGTACGCCACAGGTCATAAAAGCAGAGGAAGGCAATACAAGCATGTTCCTGCCTGCCCGAGGGCATCTCGTGGAAGAATTGAACAGCAGATTCTCTGGTCGTGAGGAAGAGTTAGTGGGTAATGGAAGCTGGTGACAGAAAACAGTTTATTGGGATCTTCTGTCACAAATGCAGGGTTTTCCCATCGCCTCTCTGTCCCCCCACCCAGGCTAAGAAGTAGTAGAGCTRAATTGTCCAGCTGGTTTGGAGCAGAGAGGTGGGGGGGATGCAGAGGGGAAAGAGGATAAAATGTGGCTGTTTTGGAGGTTATTTCTGCTTCTGCACTATCAGAATTAAACTTCTGGTCATACTACAGTGAAAACTGACATCCAGTTATGAAGTTTTTCAGTTAAAATTTCTTCTCCACTGTTTGCTTAAATGAGTGATTATGRTCTGAGGATAAATATAAGAAATGATGACAAAAAAAGCTAGACAGAATGAGAATATAGCAGGCTAAATTTTGCTTAGGTAAGATGTCTGGTTTCAACTTAACCAARCATGATAAAATACTACCTTGAGCTAATCATAAACTTGGATGAAGCTGTGCCAGAACATCAATAACATTTGCCACCTTTACAAAGATGTTATGAGAATGGGTGAGATTTCAGGAGCTAGGAAAGCCCAGCCRTAAAGACTCTGGCTGAAAAGAGAACAGGCAGAACTGGAAAATGACTGAGAAAATCCACAAGCCCAGCACAGTGCTTGGAGGATGGAAAGAACAAGCAGATATGAGATGGATAAGTCTGCAGCAAATAATGCAGAAAGAACTTGGGTCTTSCTGTGCTCAATTCCATGACTGAGGTGGTCACTTAAAGGTGATGGGACCGATATAAATCTCTGAAATAAACGTGCATTCCTAAGGTCTCCGAAAATCAGAACCAACTTTTCTTCTGACAGTCCATAGGCTCTGTAAGGGAGATCTATCCCTGACACATCTGTCAAGGGGTGCATAAGGCTTTGGGTGTCAGAAGAGCTGGGTAGAGTTTCTTTTGGTATGAGATTACCTACACCAGAGTAGAACTTTGTTTTCCAGGGCTGAAGAATTTTGCCCACTTTGTCTCCTGCAAAGCAATCTATCAGTCAGAGCTGAGATACCAGGCTGAAAGGTGTATAGTAGCGTCAGGGATGAAGTTATTTCTCTGTAAATGTTTTAAAGCTTACTTATTACTATAATTATTACTATAATTTCACAAGCACAAATATTTATTGTGGCTTTGCGCAGTGTTGGAGTTCTTGCATGTTAACTGTGTATGCAATAATTGTTTTGCATACAGAAGCATTTCCTGAAAAAATAGACATTGCTGGAGATTTACATATAACAGCATTGCAATATTTTTCAGCCATAGAGCTTTGTCTAGTTCCAGTTTCATCAGGATCCTCTGCATTGGCTCTACCTGTCCAAAATAAGAGWCAGACTATTCTGAGTTCATCACCTGGACGCTAGAAAATCAACTAAAGTGCAAAACTGAAGCAACTCAACTTGAATAACTAATCGGACRTTGCAGTGCGCTGCCTGTCCTGTCGGGTGCAGAGGCTGAGCTGAACATGTGTGTACAGGCCACKGCCAAGCAGCACCCGTGCCAAGCCCTGTTGCTGAGCTGTCTGCAAGATATCCTTTCACAGATAGGTTTAAATCTCAGTTTGTGACACCAGATAACCTGAGTAAAAGAATGCATGCTGATTTGTTTTATTAATGCATGTTAATGAAGGCCTGAGTTGTTAGCATATTGCAGCATGGTGATGTATTTAAGTGAACTCTGGAGGCTAATAATCCTAGTCTTTTTGCTTCGGAGGTGACGAGGACAGGAAGACGCAAGAGATGCAGAAACTCAATATAGGARAATTCTCTTAGGATAGAATAAGTAGAACAGGATAGAGTGTGTTCACCCTCCGGACACAGGAGTTTCCTAAAATTGGAGGACAATGGTGACCCTCATCGTCTTTGTGTTTTGTCTTTTTATATTGCAGTTTCTGAAGTTGCAGTGGGCACGCAAGTCACTTCCTCCTGGGCCAGTGCCCATTCCCTTCTTTGGAAATTTCCCACATGTGTCTTTCAAGGTTGATCACAACATCCTTGACAAGGTATGTGCTTCCAGACAACTGCTGGGTGTGAAAAGTGGTGCCACGGTTAGAGGCACAGAAACATCTCCAAAAAACCCTTTTGTAACTCTGAAAAGCCTTGTTAGCTATGGGGGGCGGGTATTAATCCATCTGGGGATAAAGGACAGGCTTTCAAATAGTTAGAATCTGATCCGTAGTGATTTGATATTTTTTAAGTTTCTTGYGACAGACATATTTATCCTAGTTTCTAAGTTGTGTGTTTATTTGCTGTATTATACACAGCAAATGTATTATATAGATCAGCTTTACGTTTGTTCTATCCTGTTATTTACCTGAGGGTTTGGGTTTTGCTCGGCTGTTTCAGCTCCTGGGAATAGAAGACCTATAGTCCAATCTACTTTAAAAACTCGGCTCAGCTGGGTTGTGAGAACTGAGATGCATGGAGGGGGGAGAGGCTGCACGAGGTCTGTTGCTGTTGGGCTAACCATTGTACTTTATGTGTTGAGGGGTTCTGTCTTTGCTTCTTGACAGTTGCTTTTGTGGTAGAAAGGTAAAAACTGTCAGGAGGCTTAGTTGAAACTTCCTGATTTAAGTGTATTTCCTTTGCATCTGTAAGAATCCCCCATCTAATACCCTTAACTGACACTGCTATGTTTGCTATTCTTTTGAGTTTCTTCAGCTCCTTTGTGAAAGACTCATTGGGCTTTGCCCAATGTGCTAGTTTTGGGCTTTGCCAGGGCGTGTGCTAGTTTTGATACCTGCTRTATGTGTCTTGTGTCTGCTGGTGGGGAGGGAGTTTGCTTCTCACTTGGCTACTGTGGGGCCATGGATTTTGCTATAGGGGAGCTCCAGAATGCAGCAAGTTTCTCACCTCACTGCTACTCTGAAGGACAAAGAAGATGGGAGACCAAAACGCAAAGTCAATGTATACAATAGCAGATATGTTATTCTTCTTGCAGTAAGTCCTGCAATGTAGGACTTTCAAGTCCAGGCTCTTTTGTGAGGAAACAAGGGGAGTGATCAAATGTTTGCCTTAGCAGATGAAGTTGGCCTCAAGGGAAATAGCTGTCTTGGTTCTGATCTCCAGCAAACCCTGGTTGAGGAGGAAGGCTCATGATTTCTTGCTTACTTGTGACAGCTCAAAGAAGAAAGAGACTCCTGCTTTGCCAGTAATTGTCTTTTAAAGAAGAAATCCTCTGTCATTTCTGTGATTCTTGCAATGAAATTTGTTTTAGCCCTATGGAACCCCATGACCAAGATAGGTGCTTGCAAGCAGAGAGTGACAATTGGCCCTGGTTTATTCCTGCATCCCTGAATAGCCTTTTTCTTACTTTTGAAAAAGCAGTTTCTTCTGACTCTGATTGAATTCTTTTTTCTCCCACTGGTATTTTGGGGAGACTGATCCAACTTCAGCTCGCAAAAACCTATGGCAACATCTACACCCTGTGGCTGGGACACAAACCCGTAGTGGTGCTTCATGGATTCCCGACGGTGAAGGAGGGTCTGACTACTCATGCAGATGATGTTGCTGGCCGAATGAACACCCCTTTCTTTCAGCGAATAGCGAATGGAAAGGGTAAGCTCTGCTGCTCCCCAGAGAGTGCATTTTGAGAAGGGAATAGGGAAGTTGGAGGATGAAGGAAGAAATTCTCTCTCCTTCTATGACAGCYGCTGCCTTCCCTTCCCTTTCAGAAGGAAATGCTGGGTGATATGGCAATAAAAAGAAATGGGAAGGAATGTTTTGKTTTTGGCTTTTCACTGGGCGTGTGGGCATTTTCTGGCTCTATCATGTCCTCCAAAACAGGAACTGTATCTTCTTCTCTTCCAATGCCTTCGCTATCTCAAACACTGCTCCTCCACCATGCTGGGGAAGGAACCTACTGAGCAATATCACCAAGTTCTCTGTGCAGCTTCACTCTCACCTAAATATCACTACCGAGCAGCTTTCCTGTCCTACATCTGAATGTGATTCTTGGGGCCTGTTGTGTTCATCCAATGTACCAGATTCCTACCAAGAGTCAACATGAATCYTTCTGAGCTGAGAAAGAATCTCAAATCATGTAATTTCTGTTCTGGCAAGAGCACATGTAGAGGAGTGCAGAGATCTAATGTCATGGCTTGCTGTCAAATGTAATGTCTATTCTAATGTTTTGCACTAATATTTATAAAAATGGAAGTAACTGATATAACTGGATGGTTATAGGTATTTTTTTCTCAAGTGGTGTCATCTGGAAACATGAGAGACGTTTTGGGATTGCAACCCTACGGAAGCTCGGACTGGGAAATAAAGGGATAGAGCGTGGCATACAAGTGGAGGCACGGCACCTGATGGAGTTCTTCCAGAGCACGGATGGTATGTAAGGTGCAGAGAGCTTTACAGTCTCATGCTGTGCTTGTCTGCATGTCTTGAGGCTTCAGTTTCTTAGTTTCTGTGAGTATTTGTTTGATCTTTATTGTAATTTGTGTCAGCTTGTGGGGATACCTCTTCCTAAAACCCAAACACACGGGGAGCATTTGTTGTAATTGACTGATGGGACCTGCCTCCTTGAAAGGGAGCGTGTGGAGTAGTAATGATGAATGCTAATTGCTGTGTTTGCAGGAAAAGCAGTGGACCCTGCTTATCCCATTGTTCTTGCTGTCTCTAATGTGATCTGCACTGTGGTTTTTGGACATCGCTTCTCCCTAGAGGATGAAACTTTTCAGAAGTTGGTCAAAGCTCTTCATTTTTTTACGGATTTTGCAAACAGCACTTCTCAGATAGTGAGCAAACTTTGTTTCTATTCCTTTAATAGGGAAATGGTAATGTAGGAATTCATACCAATTCAGACAAGGAACTTGTCATTCTCACCACTCCAGTGGTAGCTGTACCTAGTAGCTAGTTTAGCTTTTGCTGATTTTAATCAGGGAAAAATCTGTAATATCTGTTACATATCATGTGTTTTGTGATGTGTTCTGCTAGGATATTGCAGTAGTAATAATTATCTCTCCAAGACAGAAGTCAGTGATAGGATATGATAGGATCAGCCCAAGTGTGCATGACAAACGATTTGCAATCTCTTTCCCATCTCCATCCTGCAGCTCTATGATATCTGCCCATGGCTGATGCGGCACCTTCCAGGGCCTCAACAAAAGGTGTTTGTTCTCTGTGATTTTATCCATTCTTTCGTAAGAAAGGAGATCAGAATCCACAAGGAGAGAGGCAAAATAGATGACCCAGAAGATTTCATTGATTACTACCTGTTTCAGATGGCTAAAGTGAGTGTATGCTAGGTGTGAAGATARGTATGCTTGATCCTACCTCTTTGTATTCCTGGGAATATCCTTCCACATCACCTTGAGCAAATGGATTCTGCAAACTGAAGTGGAAACTGCCTCCTTTCCTCTCTGATTTCAAATGCAAAGATATAAGCTTAATTAAGAAGCTAATGTTTAGTATGTAGAATTATTTAATTTTTGCTTTGTTTTGTGTTGCTGACTATGAGTTTGCTGCAWCACTTGTAGCAACAGAGTGCCAGATACCAGACATGGCTACTTTAGGGAATTGCTGCTTCCCATTGCCRCTGGCACTGCAGTCTTAACTCTTCTCAAGAGACTGCTGGAGTCAAGTTATACACAGTAATGGTGATAGACAGGAGTGATGCCAATGCTGTGAGTACAATAATTGACCAGTCTGTCTTAATAAGAAAATATAACATAGAAGGGTGAAAGCCTTTGGTGGAGAAGCTGAGTGGGCAGACTGGCTAAGGAAGAGAAAAGTCTCCTCCTGTTTTGCTATGCCTTCTGCATGAGGCCTAACAGGCTGGGGGAAAAGCAATGCATGAGAAGAAGGTGCAGGACCTCAGCTGCCTTTATGCACTTCAGAGAAAAAAATCTCTGTTGCAGGACTGGRGAAAACTTACTGCATGGCTTAAAAAATGTAGGCTTATCTCTTCCTGTTATTCCAGCAACTGTTTCAGATTGAAATGTTATGTTGTTTGGTTTGGGGATAGCACCCAGAGATGCTCCAGTATCCTGGATGTAGTCATGCTCACTGTTACACAGGTTAATCTCCTGTCTTTTACCATCTTATTCCTTGTTGCAGACTGAAAACAATGCCATGTATAAACATGATGAAGACAATATGGTGCAGTCTGTGTTTGACCTCTTCCTGGGTGGCACAGAGACCACTGCCACCACTCTGCGCTGGGCTCTGCTCTATATGGTAGCCTATCCTGACATCCAAGGTAAGCTGGGGGCACGAAGAGACCTCCTCAGAGAGATTTCCAGTAGAAGAACTGAGAGATTTTCTCTTCTGTAAGATCACTGGTAAATTAGAGCCTTGCAGCCAGAAATATGCACATCAGTGAAAACTGTTGTAGGATTTAGAAAGGAGTAAAGATAGAATGAGGGGAAAGGGATAGGARGGRCTAAGGAGTGTTTCTCCACCTTAGATAGTAGTGGATAAAGTGTGCACGTTCCTGTCCACAAGCTTCCATAGAAATTAAAGAAATTACACACATTATCTATTRCTGTTTCACTTTCACAAACCTACTTCTGTTGCCTTAGATGATTCCACTTTGAAAGGGAAACTGCAAAAACCAGACACAYGTGCTAGTTAGAATTATCAGGAGTGCACAGGTGAAAGTATTCTCCCTGAAAAAACTTCAGAAATGATTTTTCTGCTAAGGCAATTCTTGTTTTACAGCAGATCATCTGAGATGCTGCTATTTYGCAGTCAACAAGGGTGGGAAATATTAGCTGGTTGTGCGACTGAATTGTGCTCAGAGAAAAAAAACAGAGAAGACTGCCTTGGAATTGTAGATGTTAATATTCAATAGTTATGAGCTAGGCTTATATTTATATCTTGTATTTAATTGTTTGGAATACTGTGAACAGTTTGAGAATCAGAATTCATTTTGAGATGAGCACAGAGCTTACAGGATGCACAGAGGTCTCCCCTCTATAAAGTCTGTGTTTCTCCTCAGAGAAGGTGCAGCAGGAACTGGACGCTGTGCTGGGATCCTCCCAGTCGATCTGGTACGAGGATCGGAAGAGGCTGCCCTACACACATGCTGTGGTTCATGAGATCATGCGCTTCTGCAGCATCATTTTAATTGGATTGCCCAGAGAAACAGTGAGGGACACAACACTGCTGGGCTATCCAGTTCCAAAGGTACAGGGCTCCAAGGTGACACTCTCCTGTCATCTGCTGTCATACGTGTCCCCTGTCTTCTCTCCCTGTGCTAGTAATTGTTTCTTCCACTGAAGAGGCGTCAGGCAGCAACGTGAACTCCAGGTTCCACGTAGCAACTTYTTTTATTTCTTTGATTTCCCTGTCATCTCCTGGTACACGAAGGGACATGCTCTCAGGAGAGTAATGCATGCTGAAATTCCACCAGGATTGTTGGGATTTCAAGCTTAGGGTCAAGCACATGAGGAAAGATGAGTGTGGGTGGTTCCTTGAAGCCAGAATGCTGCACCATGGCAGGCAGGGAAGCAGATCAGTTCTCCATGGTCACTGTGCTAGTAGAAGGCACATTAGGAGTAAATCGCTGAGACTGAAAGCCCGTGTTTGTGCATAGAAATGATTCAAACAAAAGCAGCAGTGGTGTATAGCTTGCTTAGCACAATAAATCCCACATGGATTTTGTCTGTCTCTTTCTGTGCGTGACTTTACTTAGAAAGAGGCTAAGATACAGCCTAGGACAAACTCCTTTCTTGCAGGGTAGCATCGTTATTGCAAATATATACTCTGTTCTGACTGATCCTGAGTACTGGGAGAAACCTTTTGAATTTGATCCTGGTCACTTTTTGGATGAAGAAGGAAATTTTTTCTGCAGAGAAGCCTTCTTACCCTTCTCAACAGGTATGCACATGGTCACTTAATGCTCCTGAAGGACATGGACAATGGAATAAAATGTAAAATCATGTTTTAAAATGTGTTTTATCTTCTTTCTGCYGGGTAAGTAACAGCTACGGATTTTGCAAGCAGAGTTGCAGGGATGGTTTGGGTCTAGTGTGAACAACGAATCCTGAGAGAGAATGACTGCTGGCAGGGATATACTTGCCCTTTATGCAAAGCAATCCTCCTAGGAAGTTCATAGCAGGCAGATGAAAGCAGAATTCGGATCAATGATTACCCTTTTCTTCTTTCTGTAGGGTTCCGGTTATGTTTGGGGGAGCAGCTGGCAAGGATGGAGCTCTTCATCATCTTCTGCAGCCTCTTGCAGACATTCCGGTTCACCCTGCCTGATGGAGTGAAAGAAGCCGACACACAATGTATTTTGGGGAGCACAGTGCAGCCCCGTCCCTATAGGGTCTGTGCTTTTCTTCGCTAGGCAGCTTGGTGCTGACCTCTGAACTGCCCCTTCCAGTAACTGCACTTAGGAAGTCTTCTGGAAACTGCTCCTGTACATAGTTTCTTGTGGGGGTAGGGTCTTCATATGTGCTCCTTCAAATGCTGAGAATTAAAAATAAAGYAAAGAATTACAGACTCTGGCATTAATTCTGGCTGAGCAGGAGTCCTGSTACTGAGAGAAGACTGAAACTGTAATGTGTAAAGCCTTATAGTAGTCAAAGACTTAGTTCCAATAGGGAAACTGAAAGCGTTGGCTGAAGGAACCAGGACATTTGTACATTTAGACATTTGCAAAAAGCAGCCAGYGGAGCTGTCAGTCTGTGCTTGCAAACAAGCATACTCCAGTACTTGTAGGAGTAGGGTGACTGCTGGAGAGCCCTGGCCCGTGTTCTCTGTGTGTTTGAGGAAATTATCTACTGCTGTTAGCAGAACTTAGGCAGACCAAAGCAAAGCCCCTTGTCTTGGCAGAGGTGTTCAGTGTGATCAGCTTGTTGGGACCCCTGCTGCAGGTGGAGTCAAGGGTACAAGCTAAACTGCTGCTCTTCAGCCTGTCAACCCCACGCCTATGCTAGAAGGCTCTCTGGTGAGACCATCTTCCCAGCCAGCGTCTCCTACCTGTAAAATAAGAATAAGTAAAAGCACTTTCTCCTTGGAGTCATGYGTGCAAACACTGCAAAACGCATGAGAAAGCACAATGCGAAACACTTCAGGATTTCCAGTGCTCTCCAAGAAACGTGGGACTTGCTCCTTTCTCACATCTGAGCAGCTCCCAAATAGCCGTGCTTGGGAGATGCTGCTCTAAACAGCTGCAGCTGCTGCAGAGCGCGTGTCAGGGCCCAGCTGCTTTGGGTGCTGCTGCTAGCAAGCTGCTGCAATCTGTGTTTAAAAAGGCAGCTTCTGTGATCTAACAACATCTAGTCTAAAAATCTTTCTTAACCTGCCTCTCCTTGGGCTGTGGTCTTTAAATGATCTATGGGTATGTTACAGAATTCTACCATGAGTTCAGAGGGTGGCTGTTAACTGAAGAGTAAAATGCAAGGGGGTTCTTGGTTAAACAAGAGTGAGGCTCTCTGACTTAGCATCACGTTCTAGGATCTGAGAATAAGTCTCGCTTGGTGCCACAGGGATATTTGCAGGGAATATTTGGAGAAAATGCCCTTGTATAGCAGCAGTAACRGGACAGAGTTGAGTAGCTGGGGGAGCATCTGAAAATAAACAGATGGGTACTCCATAGCTGGAGAATTTCACCCTTTTTGCCTAAAGCTTAGCCTAGTGCTCCTGAGAACTCTGGTATCATCCTGTATACAGCTGCCACGTGGATATAATTTCCTCTTGAGCAGTGGATTGTCCCCTTCTCCTGCCTCCTTCTACACCCTGTTTGCTTGGCTGGTGCTGAGAAGGTTTGTGTGCCTTGACTGTAGGGAAAACGGTTCCATGTGTGACTTGTGTTTGCAGTTATAGGCAGGGGGGACTTTGTGATGTAAAAAGTTTGTGCTAGGTAGAACTGGAGGAAAGTTCAAAATGAAGCAGCTGAATAACAGCTGCAGCTTTGCGTCTGTGGCTGCTTCTGGGCTTGCATGTAGTTAGAGCTTGGAGGGATATGGCCCTTCACACCGATTGTCCAAAGGGTGTTTCATGGATTTCTTGAGGAGGCTGAATAAAGGTGCCCGCCTTTGAGCCTCTGCTGGATCCTCAAGCTATTAATATATTGCAGCACAGTGGTGTATTAAATACRTCCAGGAGTAGGAGGAACTGTCCTCCTTTTCTGCAGGCAGTAAGCCTCATAGTAAAGAAAGAAGGAGAAAAATGCATGAAGGCTGAATGTGACAGGGTTCTCTTTGGGAGTGTTAAGGAGAACAATATAGAGTTTTACCGATAGATCCATAATAGTTTTCTCAGCAATAGAGTAGTTCTRGGGGTGTTGAAATGCCAACAGTAAGTATAACTCTCTTATCCCTGGTTTTGTTTCTTCTGAGTGTGCAGTTCCTGAGACTACAGAGGAAAAGTCGTGGATTTCCTCCRGGACCGACCCCATTTCCTCTCATTGGAAGCATCTGGTGGATAAATTTCAGAGCTGATCATGGAAGCCTGAGTAAGGTATGTGTTCACAGATATGAACTAAGAAGCTATTGATGTTCCTACTCATGGTTGCTGATAATAAAAAAATGTTTTCAGTAGAATCTGCAAAAGATCTAATTCATGTGAAAGCTAATGTGCATGCAAGTTAGAACTGAGGACAGTAATTTTGTCTTTAAAAAGACAGATTTTAAAGATAGTTTTTTCTTTTGAGAGAACAGAGAGAAGTGTTCTGAGAGAAAAACTCATTTTAAAATAAGGGGGCTCTAGAATTCAAAAGATATGAAAAATACACTTGTATGTCTCCTGCTGCCGCAGAGGGGGGCATATTAAGTTGTATCCTRTATGGAGCCAAAGCTTTTGCTCATTGTTTTCTGAACTTCACAAAAGAATCCAGCGTGTTGGAGCCTTCTTCAAATTCCCAGCCTCTCTGTTAAGCGCAATGTGCATGCTAAGGGGTACCAGGCTGTACCTGGGGAACACTGGCTTCAGGAAAACAGTATTTAAGACCTTGATGCCAAACTTCTCTGGGTACTTGCTCATCACTCTGCAAGTAGAGATGTGCAGCTCCTTTGTGTAAAGGTCTTTGTCCTTACTGGATGCTTGCAGGCTGCTTGCCTGAGAATAGTGTCCAACACTAGACAAGAAGTGGGATCTCTGTTCAGATTCCTGAAATGACAGTATTTTCATACTTGGGGGAAGAGGTCCCAGAGGGAAAGAGGTCCTGTCATTGAATATTGAAATCTGCAGTACTAGGAGATTGATGCTGGAAATAGGTAATTTCATGAAGATCCTTTTRTTTTTATTTTTTTWAATTTTTTTTTGCTGAGGAAATGAAAGGAGAGGTAGAAAACTGGAGCTTAGAAGGGGCAAATGTTCTGAAGTTTCATGTGACACCTTCTACAGATCCACAGACAATCAGAGATATTGTTGATATCACAGAAACAACTCAAACCAAGCTTTAAAAATGGAGTGTCTGCTTTGATCTGTGACCTGCTTCCATACAAAAAGTGAATGTAGCCTCCACGTATTTTTTTCTGTTATCATTCATGCTGCTGTGGAAGGGTGGATCCCAGGGGCTCGCCTGTGGAAAGTGCTGCCATCACAGAACAAAGACACACTCCCGTTTCCATTCCCAAATCCCCAAGTAATGTTATACTGGAGCAGAGCAACTCATTATGTACGCAGCTGGATTGATTTTTCTCCATGGATATTTTTATGGCCTTGATAAAATTTGCAGCTGGCAAAAATGTATGGCAGTATCAGCACGCTGTGGCTGGGTGACCAACCTCTGGTAGTTCTGCATGGATTCCAGGCTGTGAAGGATGGTCTGACCACTCACTCAGAAGATGTTTCTGGACGACTAGAGACATATGTCTTCAAGCGAATGGCCAATGGAAAGGGTAAGGTGTTATATCTGTGCAAAGATTATGGTTGCACGTGCAACTTTCCATACAGTTGCAACATGCAAAAAAAAAAAGAAACTATCATTTAAATCTTGATGTCACACTGCTGTCTTGTCTGGATGGTTCTATAGCATCCTGTAATAGCAAATCTTGACCTTAAAGGAAATGCTGGCCATGAATTTGCRGGGAAGCAGAATTCAGAACAACCGAGGAGTAGCAGGTGAGGGAAAGAAGAATAGGGAACTTGTCTCTGAGAAGGATCCACTGGGTGTTACATGCGGGAAGAGACTGAGATTGGCTGCAGACCAGGTGAAGATGTTCTGCTCCAAACACTTGGCCCCATGACCTAGCTGTTGTGTGSAATATCTGCATCTCCTCTTTCCCTTCTCCCTTTTTTCCTGACTTCCTRTATTTCCATCTATGTGCTCCCTGCTGATGAATCCTCACTCCTCAATTCACCTTTTATCTAAGATTCTTAGTATATACAATATTTACCATTATATGCCTATTAACAAAGCCTAAACTTGATTCTTGTTGGCCAAAGGTATCCTGCTTTCAAATGGACTCAYCTGGAAAAATCAGAGACGTTTTGGAATTGGGACTCTCCGGAAGCTGGGAATGGGGAATAAAGGAATGGAACATGGAATACAAACGGAAGCTCATTATCTAGTCAAGTTCTTCAGGGACACAAATGGTAAGTCATTTGCAAAGTGCTTGTGAATTATATCTTTATATAATATATAATATATAATATATAATATATAATATATAATATTTTTATTTTATTTATTTTATTTATTTTTTTACTATGTTGCACAGTCTGTGTGACTCTGAGGGTGAAAGCTGACTATTTTTACACCAGAAAAAAAAGGGCTTTAGAGCATATCCTAGATTCCTTAGATTGCAATAGAACCCCTATGGACAGTTAGATCTCAACAGCATGTATTTTGGTATCAGCACTAAGATTAAGACAAAGAAAAGCAAGGCCAGATGCTAAAGACTTTGAAGACTTGTCTTCATTTCTGAATAAAGTTTATCTGTTGTTGCCTTGGTGCGGTTTGGGTATTTTGGTAAAACAATTTATAGAGGACATGTATTATAAAAAGCCATTGTGGCCTTGCAAAATAGGGATAGTTGTTTTACTGATAAATGAATGTTTTCCTTTGTTTTTAGGAGAAGCTGTTGACCCTTCCTTCCCCATTGTTCATGGTGTCTCTAACGTGATCTGTGCTGTGGTTTTTGGACATCGATTCTCCCTAGAGGATGAAACCTTCCGCCAGCTGATCGAAGCATACAATTGTATTGTAGCTTTTGGGAACAGCCACTTTTACTATGTGAGCAAATTATATTGTTTTATTTCTTTATTTTTAAGTAGTAAATGCAAACAGAAATTTTGTCTATGAATACAAATTGGATGAAGAGTACTTTGAATCGTCCTCCATTTGAATGTTACATTAATACTCTTTATCAGGATTCCACAGTAAAGGCAATGTGCTTAAGATGAACTTTTCCATAATGGAATCTCTTGTTAYTAAGGTGGCAAGTGGCGCTCTTTGTGTCAGTACCAGAGTTTGCTTTTGTGTGTGGGCATTCCAAGCTAGTGCTATATATTAGCATTTATTCTTTAAGGGAAATAGTCTGATTCTGGGATTGAGGGAAGGCTTGAAGGTGTCGGAATTGCATGTATTAAATTGACATATCAACTAGACTCGATTCTTTGGCTGATGAAAGAATAGACAGGGCGGATGCAAGCAGAACATGCCATAAACATACCTTTCAAGAGTGGAAATTACATCTTTAATTTATGGTTTCTATTGTATAATCCTGTCCTGAACATGCTATTTCTCTTTGACACTATAGTATTCTTTCTCAGAGAAGTTAAGGAATAGCAATTCAGCATGAAAAATGTCCATATTGTAGCTCTGTATGGCTTTATGGTGCCATGTGACTGAGAGCACTTGTGTTGAATGCCTGCTCCACAGCTATGTGAAATGTTTCCCTGGCTTGTGAATTACCTCCCAGGACCTCACCTGAAAGCATCGTATTACTGTGATTTTGTCCGTTCCTTCATAAGGAAGGAGATACAAAACCATAGAGAACGAGGCAGAATAGATGAACCACAAGATTTCATTGACTTTTATCTGGATCAGATGGTGAAAGTGAGTAATCTGTGCGATAAGTKGAGATCAGTGTCTCATGAATAGCTGCTATTAGGCCTGTGTAYCTTCTGTGCTCTTATTTTGCTTTTTTTTTGATTGACATTTATAGAATGAAAATGTCCCCAATTCTACGTTTGATGAAGACAACATGGTGCAGTCTATTTTTGACCTCTTTTTGGCAGGTTCAGAGACCACTGCCACCAGTCTAAGATGGGCYCTGCTCTTTATGGTGGTTTATCCTGACATCCAAGGTGAGGTGCAGATACAAACATGGATAAGTTTCAAGTAGAACAAGCCTCTGTTAGCACAGTCTTAAGCYTTGTTTTTTAGAAACCAGTGAAGCTGAAAAACTAAGACAGCAGTTCTTAAATAATTTCAGAGATGCTCAACTTCTGAWACTGTATTTCATCTTCTTGATTATTGTCAGACTGTTTCAATACAGTGTCATGAAGCGAGAGGCAATCTGGCTGAAAGCACTCAAAGTGAAATAGGAGCTGGCATTTATGTGATTTTTCTAGTGTCCAAGATGTGTAACAAAATTATATGATTTGTGCTCCTTGACTGAGGCATCAGTTGTATTTCTGTATATTAAATATTAATTCTATATTAATTCTAGAGTGTGGGATGGTTTAGAGTGGTTCTCTGCACTATTCACTAATTCACTAATTGTGAAGGCTGCACTCAAGTTCAGCTGCACCCTAAATGCTTCTTTTCATGCTAGAATGCTAGAATACGGCCCTGTGTGCACACAAAAATTTCAAATTTTAATCAAATTAAAAACCAAACACAACTTCTTAATTAGTTTATTTTTTTAGACATYCACAGAGCAAATGCGAGGTCTTCATTTCATGCAAAACATCATGTTTTTCCATCTATAATGGACTTTTTTGTTTGTTTCCTAGAAAAAGTCCAGAAGGAGCTGGACGCTGTGCTGGGTCCCTCCCATCTAATCTGCTATGAGGATCGGAAGAATCTGCCTTATACAAATGCTGTGATTCATGAGATCATGCGCTATGGCAGCATTATTTTAATCACAATTCCTAGACAAGCAGTGAGGAATACCACTATGTTGGGGTATCAGATTCCCAAGGTACAGCTATGCCCCTTATTCCGGTGTTATTATTAGCCATTTTACAGCTTTGGAAGAACTGCAGACTCTACATCTCTAACCTTCTCTTTCACTGAAGATGACTTAGTAGGATACAACTTCAGATCTTAATGCAGATTAAATTCCTATAGGAGAATTTATTTTTTACTTATAGTTTGCAGAAGAGTTCATGTTCAYGCAGGTCACTAAAAAGATGCTTTAAATCCAGTGAAATTAACTGCAAAAAGTAACTAAAGTTAAGGTCTGAAATGATCTTCTGAAAAAGATATCTARTATCTTCCCTTCCCCAAGATATTAGTGCTCAACTTTCTAAAGAGTTAGAACAACCACTTTTTAATAGTTGTGTCTGTGGAAGTAGCTTTGGCTTGCCCTTGAGATCTATTAAATGACGCACATTTATGTGTGAAGCTCACGTTAAACTCTAAGCCAACACTTGAACTGGAAAAAGTGGGCCAGTGTGCAAGGCCCACTTGGCTCTCAAGCTGTTGTGAACAGGCATGAAATACACAGTGTTGTGCTGCCTAGGATTGTTTCCTGGTACCTTATTCCCGTGAAACTCGGTCCAAGTCAAACCATTGCACTGATTCCTGATTTCCCTCTTCTCACCAACATTTAAGCACCTCAGACACCCACTTTCACCCTGAGCTGTTCCAGAGATGTGCCAATCACTCTGGCTTTRCTGCTTTCCCTTGGAGGAGGCACATATAGGTTGGGTGTCTCTACAGAGGTCGAGACAGAGTTTATGGTGATGCCATCCCACTTCTTGGGACAGTGAGATTAACCATTTTTTTTTTTGCATTGCTCCCCTCTTTTCCCTGTTTTAACATTCCTCCTTTACTGTCTCAGCACTGGCAAAGGCAGTAGCAATATTTGCACCCAGAATCCAGTGTTTGGCATTAACAAAGTAAAGGTTTTTTTCACTTGTGTTCTCCCTCATCTCCTTTTCCCTGCAGATAGGGACAGGCATAATTCTTGGTGTCCGCACTGGCACGTATTACTGTTCCTCTCCCAAGTCCTCTGGTCGTGCCTGTTTCTCCTAGTGGGTGCAAGTGTTTGCCAAAAGTGCAATTTCACAATAATTAAACCTGTGTTCTGCAAGAGTCCTGTCTATAGAGCCTTAAGAAAGAGAACTAAATCACCTCATTCTTCCTYGCAGGGTACACTCATTATGCCAAACATAGACTCAGCTCTTTTCGACCCTAAGTACTGGGAAACTCCCCATGAGTTTAACCCTGGTCATTTCTTGGATAAGGATGGAAATTTTGTGGCCAGAGAAGCCTTTTTAGCCTTTTCAGCAGGTAAGTTCTTTGACAGATAAAGCCATTTGTGAGAGTTTGATTGTATAACACAGTATTATTTTCATTGCAGAAAAGGCCAAACACAGCATAATCCAAAATTTCCCAGCCCATGCAAATATTTTGATTAGAAGGAAGTTACTTAGTAATTGTGTAATCACTTGATTTTAGATTTTTGTGAAAAAGCAGAGAAGTGAAAGGAGTAAGGCTCTAGGATTGCTAGAAATTTGAGGAGTTGAGTCCTTAGCCTATGCCAAGCAATGCTGCAGTGGCTGTTCTGTGGCAGGATGCTCTGTTGGAGCTGATTTACTCTGTATAAGTAATTCAGTAGTCATTGGTGCAGGAATTTGAACCTGGATCRAATACATCACAGACGGGCATGTCATTTCTGGGATGCTTCTATAGCCCCTCTTTCACTGTGTGTCACTGCACATGACACAGCTTCATCAAAAGCTTTTGGGGATCACGCCAGGGTTGTGAATAGCCTGGTTGTCTGAGCTCTCAGCTGGGAGGTAGAAGTGTCTGATTCAGATTCCTGGTCTGTGCTGGGCAGAACAGGAATTTGAACATTGCTTTCTCACATCCCAGCTGCATGGCTTAACCACTAACCTTTAAAGACATTGCATTTTTTTTAACCAGAAGTTTTTGTCCTGGACACAAAGTTCATTGATAAATTGGGAAATGTTTTTTCTTGATTTCTCTGAAAACATCACATAGAAAATTATCCAGTCAACTGTAAATTGTCCTCTCTATCCTGACTTTTCAATACTGTTAGTGAAGAAAAGTTATCTTGTACTTGCATAAAGTAGATGCAGGGAAGAAACCTAAATTGCTTCCTTTTTACTCTTATTTGACATCATGAGACTGAAACTGAGTTCATAGTATCACAAGGTAAAGTAGGAAACTACTGAGAAGCATCTCTGGAATCTTTATAATTCCATCTAGATCCTGCAAAGAATAATTACAGTCATGTCTTGCATTGTTTAATTGTTTGATCAATTCAATCTGAGAGAAAATGTCAAGGCAGCAAAGCCTTTGCTTCCTGATGAGGCTGACTGAAGCTCTTTGGAAGAGGTGAGGAACAAGCGCTCCTTACAGCTTCTGCTGTTCCCTTTCTCCCTCTGCAGGCCAGCGTGTGTGTCTGGGAGAGATTCTGGCCAGGATGGAGCTTTTCATCATCTTCTGCAATCTGTTGCAGACCTTCAAGCTCACCCTACCAGAAGGAGTTAAGGAAGTCAACACACAGTGTATCTTTGGGAGCACAATGAAACCACATCCGTATAAGATCTGTGCAGTTCTTCGCTAGGCTGCAATGTATCACAGATTTGAGGGAGAGGCTTTTCCACAGGCTTGCTAGTGAGGTGATCTTTTGTGCAGCTTTTATGTACTTTATTTCTAGCACAAATTCAGCGTGAATCTATCCCTGTCAGGTCGTGTCAAATCTCTGCATGTTTTGCTTTGTATTGTAAATGAAATAAAGATAGAAAATAATTACAGTGTCTGGTCTTACTGGAGCCTCAACACAAATCTTAGTAGAGGAGAAAGAACAAAATATCCAGGTTTCTGAGAATAAGTTGGAGACGTTCTCAGTTCTTGAGCAGAATATAGAAATATGCTTCTGAGAGGTGCTGCCTGTGTGTTAGTAGAGGCCTGCGTGTGTTGCTAGAGCCCTTTGGGGTGTTCTATACAGGAGGACAGAGCTGTGGAGCGATGCCTGAACCAGCTGGTTTGTCTCTGCAGTCCTGGGCCACGTGGAGACGGTAGTGGGAATAAGGAAGGGGCCTGAGCTKCATCGCTGCAGCCCTTCGCTTGAGTGTGTGGCTCAGGCTGAAAGTGAAGGCAACCTCCTCGTGTTCCCTACCCAAGAACCCTGGTAGGGAGCCTCAATGCAGGTGAATCCAAGGGGATATAAATGGTTAAGGATGAGGAAGCTGGACAGAAAATGTTTGTTTTGCCTGTATTGTTGGAGTCTCTCTGAGAAGCATTTCTATTAAAGAGGGAGCTCTATCGGGGTGGAGAAAGATGTATTTATAGTGGTGCTGAGGCCAGGCATGTCTTGTGAAATGATGGCTAAAAGCACAGTTAAGGGAAGAGCTTTCAGTCTTGTGAAATGATAGTCGGCGCTTGCAAAAGAGGGGCATGCAAAACAAGTTTGGAAGAGCAGAGTTTTGACAGGCATGTGGAAAGCAAGACGCTTGAGAGCTTTCTGTGAGCACCAGGGCTCGCTGTCGTTCTCAATGTCACAGACACCCTCTCACCATTGAGCTAGTGAGCCTGTTAGCAGAGCTGTGGCATTTTGAGTCCCTGTATTCAGGCAGAGGGATTTCTCTGCTAGATGCAGCCGGCAGAAACAGGAGTGGTGCCCAAGGAGCGTGAGCAGGTGCCAGGAAAACCACTCGCCCTTTGAGCTAGATGGGCCTTGTTGCCAGCAAGATTTAAGATTGARACTCAGAGTCAGGGCTACCAGCAGAAGCAGCAAATGCTCTGCTGCCAGTTCATGTGACTCATGTTCATAAGCAGGATCAGTATCTGAAATTTTACTAGTCTTTTCTTAGGCTTCTGTGTTGGGACTCACGTGGTTACTTTTGTCATGACCCCCTTGTGTTTGAACCTGGCGCTTTCCCCTGCTGCCAGGCAAGGCTTGGCACAAGAGGATACGTAAGCTCAGTGGTTTAAGCACATGGAGCTGGTGGGGCTCTGCTGCTCCCTAGTCCATGTTTAGCTCCGGGATGTCTGCATGGTGCTGTACGGTACTGAACTGGTGCAGATTTTGTTGCTAGTGGAGGGATAAGGAATTCAAAACAGGGATTCAGTTTTTCTACAACTGTAAAAGTGGCCTTGCAAAAGTAGATATGTGAGAGGATTTGTCTAGCTGGTGTCTGTTGTGTTGCCACCTGCTTCTCCAGCACATGTGAATATAGGACTTAGGTGAGAGTGAATAACAAGAGAGACTTTAAGAGATGCTTTAAGATGCTCATCTTTGAGAGAGATGCTTTGGCTTAGCAGGCTCCACTCCSCCTTTGGCAAGGCACTTGCCCCTGCTCACACATTGAATATAAGCAGAGCAGCACGGGAGTGGGGCCACAGGACCCCGTCTTATGGCTCTGTGCAAAGGAGGTGCCAATGTCGACTCCAGGATGAGGAAATAACGAGGAAAGGAAATAAATCCCCCGTAACCTCTCTTCCTGATGGCATGGGAGAGCAGTTGCAGCTGCCTTTCCACAGACAAGCAGTTCATGTCTCAACTTGCGAGGTGCAATCATCGACGTGTGGCAAAGGTAGGTGAAAAAGAGAGGGGCACCTAGAGGGGACACACTGAGCGCCCAGCAAGGCTTGCRGAGCAGGACGGGGGCCGGGTGCTGCGGCCAGCGGTTGGTTAAGCCAGGCAGCCTCAGGAGCGATGGAGACATTCACAGCCCTTCTTAGGCACACGGAATCTGCTGGGTTTTGGTCTTGCTTCATTTCAGTTGCTGCACATCAAAAATGCACAGTAATAAATTGCTCTTTTGAAATTTGTAACTCAAAGGTCTGTAGACTCAAAGGTCTGTACACCTTTGGCATGGGAGCAGCTGAGYCATCTAGGTGACATCTTGGCTTTTAAGTGCTGTTGTCCAAGCTCTGTAAACTGAACCTAAGCTAGTGCTGATCTTGAGCAAGTGCCAAAGATGCCCCAAAGCTGTGTTATCCGAAGTGACCCTGTTCACAGGGGCATTTGCACTACCTGAGGATGGACTCTGAAGTTCATAGCTCTTGGATTGCTCCTGCATGAGAATGCTTGTGAAAGAAGCTGGCAGAGGTTGTTTCACGTCATCTTTATTCCTGCTGCAGGCAACACAGTGGGAATTAGCTGGGAAGCAGGTGGGAGGGGGTGAAGAAATTCTCCTTTCTTCCTGTCCATGAAGGTCTTGCAGCCTCACCTATGTGCAGCTGAACTAACTTGAGTGTGGACACTTGCATGTTGTGCCATTATAATTGCCAAGCTTTCACCCAATGATGGATTAAGGCTTTTTWAATATTGTTTCATATACTCTAGGCATGAAGTTAAAAGGTCTGACCATGTCCTGAAGACTTTAAAGTTTAAACCACGTGGAAGGAATAGGAGAGAACCCAGGAAGAGAGCAATGCGATGAGGGCCAGAGTGCATGGTTGACGCAGGCTTTGCACAGGAATGACGTGCGTCAGCTTCTCCCTCACCCTGTGGTGCTCAGGCTTGCAGCCGACCCTCAGGAAAGTTTTCTGGATTTCTCTCTTCTTATAAGAGGCTTGTCACGGACCCAGCACTGTGGGCAGGGATTTTTGTCGCTGGACATAGAGACGTATAATTAAACTCAACTTTGTCTCCTTTCGAAGGCCACACCTGTCAGATTTGTAGCTGTAWTATAATAGATAGATGTCATATATGCTTAAAAATGAGCGTTAACACTTCATCCCCTGGGAGCAGTAAGTAYAAGGAAGGGAAAGGACTGAGTGACACAGAAGCTTGAACAAGAATTTTTTTTTTTCTGTCTTTTTGGGAGGTACCAGTGAAGTAAGATAAACTGGATTTGTCCTCTACRCAAACAGAAGTTCTTTAGACACAGAGCAGTCTCCCGAATCCATCAGAAGTAAAATGTTATCAGCAAGCGCGACACTCGTACTTTGTGCTGTGTCTCTCGTCTTTCTGCAGTTCCTGAGACTGCAATGGATACGAAGAGGATTTCCTCCTGGGCCAATTCCATATCCTTTCTTCGGGAATCTGCTGCAGATGAACTTCAAAATTCATCATGAGATCCTTAAAAAAGTACGTATTTTCCAACAATATGTATTATATGGACTCATAAGCTGACTGAAGAATGAATACAAATTTGATAGCACAGTCTTCTTTTGAATGCTAAGGATTTATTCTATATCGTGTAAGCATRAGAATTGATAGGAATCATTAAATAGTCTATCTCTTGGTCTGAAGTTTGCCAACTTATTATAAAATATGTCATTGGAACCTTAGGTGCATATGAATAAAATAATACTGATGCTAGCACTTTTGTCTTAGGAATAGGAAAAGTTTTTAAAAGAGAGGCTTTTATATTGCGGAGAATTTAAAATGTTGGCTTTTTGACTCTTGTCACGTTGTCAGCTTCTAGGTTTCCCAAGAAATAGTGGTGAATGTATGTGTGATATATTCTCTTCTCAAGGTCAGGTACTCCTGGGGCATCTGGCAAGGAAAAGATTAGATTCTCCGTGYTGGATTTAAACATGCAGGTTCCCACATGTGTTTTTGTGGTGCTGCTCYGCTCTACAGGTGGCCCAAAATCATGGCAACGTCGTCACGTTATGGCTTTCACACATCCCGATCGTGGTCCTGCAAGGGTTCCAGGCGGTGAAGGAGGGCATGACAGCCCACGCTGAGGAGGTTGCTGGAAGGCCAACAAACTTCGTCTTTAAGGCGTTGACTGGCGGRAATGGTAATTATTATGTTTGAAAATTATTTTCTCATGTGCTCTATCCCTATCTCTGCTTTTGGAAACTGATTTAGAATCTCAAGATGCGTAATTTGCATTTTAAAATCTCACACACACATACATRTATATATGTATATATTTGGTAAGTTCATGAAACATCTCTTTTTGGTGAATRCTATCTGAACAGTAATGSCAGAACACAGCCATTGTAAGAGTTCCTATACAGGAGSTAAATGACTAGAGAAGAGGGGAAAAAGGAAGGCAGGACTGCATAAAAAGAAAAAAAGATCAACCAACCAAGCCCCCAAAACTGGAATGACAGAGAAGCTTCMTTGAAGCATTTACTAGGTCAAATACTGAGGTGATATATTATATATTGACTATAGATGTGTTGGTGCTAGAGACACATTGGTGATAYATAGCAGGGACTGCACTGCAGCTCCTACCACTAGTTTCTTAAACAATGAACTTCCTTTACCTCAGCTTCCAAAATAGGAACATTTAAAGCTTTTTCAGGTTTGAGTCATTTTTGAATGTTGAATTAAGCAAAATATGTGACAACATGATAGAAAAATAGAATATGGCTAATATGGTTTAGCAAATAAGTTTGGGAAACAAGCAGAASTTCTAGCGTGCATCTAACACTAACAGGCCCCTTTTCAGCCCCTGAACTTACACCCACTCAACTGATTTCTGAAGGCTTCAATTCACATAATTTTACCTCACAGAAACTAATGAGGAAAACCGGTAAGATATATTTAAAAAATGGGACATTATATGAAGATACAGTTCCTTCTGCATATGTCATTTTACATTTAGTAAATATTAATGTGTCATATAATAGATTCATTATAATCCTAGGGGTTATGTTCTCTAACGGTCATCTCTGGAAGCAACAGAGGCGCTTTGGAATGCTAACCATGAGGAAACTCGGAGTAGGGAAAAGGAGCCAGGAGCACCAGCTGCAAGAGGAGGTCCGTCACCTGGTGGAATACTTCCAGAAAGCAAAGGGTAGATGTTTTTTAGTAATCCTTGTACTTCTTCTGCAAGTCCATCTGTACGATCAGTGTAGCAGTGAGGACTGATTTTGCTTGGGAAGGAGTCACCTTTAGCTTCTGAAATTATTTGATTACTTACAATGGGTTGGAAAGAGTCCCTATGGAGCTGAGTCTCAAGAGCCTCTATCTTGTGATCTGTGTGATTTTTTAGGTATCTCACGTTTGTGGGTTTTTTTTTTTTTTTTTTTTTTAGGTATCTCAAGTTACATTTTACTTGAGTTTTTTGCTGGTAAATTGCAATTTCCCAAGCAGCAAGTATTTGATAAGATGTTATCTTCCTGTTCAGTGTGAAAAACAAATGCTATTCATTGTGTTTACAGGAAAACCTCTGGACCCCACTATGCCTATTGTTCATGCCGTCTCCAATGTGATTTGTGCTGTCATTTTTGGACACCGCTTCTCTACAGAAGATGAAGACTTCCAGCACTTGATTGAAGCCACTGATGTTATAGGAGCATTTGGGAACAGCATCTCTTTTTTTGTGAGGAAAATTATTATTTGTATCTGTCTTTTATGCAGAGAGACAATGAAAAAGGCAACTTTCTGGATGGTTTTATAACAAAAATAGATATCAATGTACATGGAATTGCTGGAGTATGTTCCAGAAGAGCATTTCCAGGAGCCTAGTTCAGAACTTCCTTCAGTTTCTGTGCTATGCTTAGCATAGCACAGAAATGATGTATCTCTGGAAAGGGATGGAAACTTGTAGGGCTGCTATAGGGCTGCGTTTAGTACATGTATGAAGGACCTTCTTCAAAAGCACCACCTCTACATCTCCAATTTAAAGCTATAACTGAAACTCCATAAAGAATATAGGCAAAAAAAATTACTGAAAATCTTTGAAGTAGACTTCCTTTAAATTTTGTCTGATAAATTGGCTTCACTATTTGAAATCGTGTGATGGTCAGTAACAGTCCAAAGGGTAACATGACACTTAACTCCTTCCTTCACTACTGCTTATTAACCTTGTAGAAGCTTAAGGAGACCACAAAGGTAACATGAAATGTTACCTTTGCACAAAGGTAGCATGAAATTACTTAATAGTAGCCTCTTGCTCTAAATTTTGTACCCCCTTTTGTACCACTGTAYGATGTCTGTGAATGCCCATGAGAATTCAGTAGTGCTCAGTGGAAGTTGCTCCCCGTTACCTGCTGGGTGAAGTTTGTGTCTGTGCTAGGCARCAGTGTCCAACCTCAGATGTGGTCCAACGGACAGAAGAATTTCCTGTCCTGCCTCTGTGTGACTTGTGGCTGCTGCTGCGAACACCACGGAACAGCCTGCCTCGGAAAAGGGCTCTTTTATCATTAGCCATTTATGAATGGAAAGCACAATACTGTGTAGAGCAAATAAACCAATATACTCACAAGTAAGGAAGTCCTTTTTCAGAACTTGCTGAGACACAGCCAGCATGTATTATTTTCCACTACTTTTCATCTCTTACTAACTGAAAATTGCTGTAAAAGAGCATTCTGGTCCTACAGAATTTGACTATTAATTTGATACTCCTGGTAAAAAATCAAAATGCTTATAATTTTTCTCTCAGAAGATGCAGGTGGAATAATTGCTAAGTTATCGTCTAAGCCAGGTAAATGCAGGATCAGCTATTTCTGAACTACTCTCAGTAGACATTTGTAGAGCCTGTTCTTCACAACTATATTAACGGCGTGGCCACAGCCAACCAAAGCCTCATAGTCTGGTGTTTAACTCTGTCCTGCTCTCTACAGTGTTTCCATAGTGGTGTAAAATGCTTTAGTGGTTGCCTGTTCTAACTTATTTTCTTGGAAAGTGGATAGATAACTGCAAGAGAAATTTTGCAATGGGACAACAGAAGAGAAAAACTGGGAATCTGAATGCCCTTGTGGGAAGATGTACMTTTGTAATTTAGCTGCCATTTAAATAGGAGGGCCAAGGAGTTATAACCTAATAATCTCATTTATTCTTTGTACATCATACTGGAAAATCTATAGCATAGTACCAAGGGAAATTCTGCTTCAGGAAAAAATGGGATTAGGAAAGGTTTTAATGGATTACTAGATGAAGATGTAGTAATCAGAGGCTTGTGTTCATTCTTCCACTGCCCACAGGCCTATGTTAGGATTCAGATTTAGTTGGTTAATCTCAATAATGCACAGCATCTCTTAAATCTTTCTTCTATAGATCTATGATCTGTTTCCCCAGCTCGCACTACTTTTTCTGGAATCATGCAAGAAGACCATGTCTAGCATAAGTTTTATGAATGCTTTAGTAACAAAAGAGATTGAAAGACACAAAGGAAAAAGAAAAACAGATGACAATTCAGATTTTATCGATTTCTATTTGGAGCAGATAGCCCAAGTGAGTATCTCTGCTTTCAACTTATCTTTGGCTGCATTGCACAACCAGGGATTTTAAGTGCTGCTGTTATCATGATAGTATCTAAAACCAAGTAAGAAATATACAGTCTGTYCCTAGAAAAGCTTATCGTTGGATAAATAGCTTTTAAAAATTGAAACTCTTTTATGGCAGGAGGAGAAGGAAATAATAATGTAAGAGGACGTACAGTATCAGATTTGCATATGATAAGATACAAGTAGAAATGACTATTATGTTGGGGCTTACAGCAAGAGCAGAAAGGAGATAAGCTCACTAGCTTTGTCACTGCTGAAGAAGAAAATGTGCCTAGGGATAAATTTACAAACAAAAAATTAATGTTTTATATTATTCAAAAAGCTTAATTTTTTAGTTCATTCTACTGTTTTGAATCAGTATGCATTCTTGTGATGCGCTTTTTTTTTTGTGCCTTAACCTCATTTTTTTTTCATTCATATCTGCAGTCTAAGGGAGATGTTGATGCAACATATGATGAAGCAAACTTGAGCCAGACTGTTTTTGACYTGTTTCTGGCAGGTACAGAAACTACAGCCACCACTTTGCGCTGGGCATTACTTTATATGGTACTTTATCCAGAGATTCAAGGTGAGTGTGCCCAAACATTAGAAAATATAAAGGCTAAAATATTAGTAGAGCTTGTTCAAAGAACAGTAGTACAGAGGCATAAATTAATAGCTGATGAATCAGATGAACTCTGATTAAAGGATTAAAAGGTATGCAAATCACTCCAAAGGCCTCACATTTGAGAGTCTTGGGTAAGCTGGGGACCAGATGCACAGGAAGACTGACAAGAAGTGAGTGGTAGGAGTAGCAAGGAGAAAGGATTTCCTCCTACATGATTAATATTTTATTTTATGGTTTACTCCCAGAAGCTAACAAAAAAAAAAAGCCTTTTTATAAAYTAAGTATGCCACAGGAGACGAAGTGTTTTTATAACACTTTGTCTCCTACTATTACTTTTAAAAAACTACTTGGTTATGCAATGGATAAAGAAATTGAGTATTAAATTTTATCTAGGTCAGCTGTTTGGRAATTTGAAGGGATTCTTATTTTTATAAAATAACACTGCACATAATGAATTTTTTATTATTATCAAAAACAATASGAAAAGATATGAATATAGAGCTCATAGATTGTCTGCCATGTATTTAAATATGAATATTTCTCCTTAGAGAAAGTCCAGAAGGAGCTGGACACTGTGCTGGGTCCCTCCCATGTAATATGCTATGAAGACAGAAAGAAGGTACCCTACACAAATGCTGTAGTTCATGAGATCCAGCGATACAGTAATATTGTATTAATTGCCCTTCCCAGAAGGAGTGTGAAAGACACAGAGCTGCTGGGATTTCATATTCCAAAGGTACAAAGATGCTTTATATTTKAGTATCTTATTTCTAAAACTTTAAAAAGTTTTAAAGGTAAAGCCCTGGACACTTATTGAGTTTATTGGTAGCAAATAATAAAGGAAATGAAGAAATCATAACATTCTCAAAAGCTTAAGCTTCTTATGTTTCAAAGCTGGTTGCCATTTTGAAAGATGAGACTTTAATTAGGTCTTTAAATTGCTTGCTTCTATGGCATTAYGTGCTTATGTGATGAATGTGAACTGTAAGACCGACTTGAAGTAGCTGCTCCTTTTTTCCAGAACACCATAATTTTAGCCAATATTGACTCTGTTCTGTCTGATCCTGAAAAATGGGAGACACCTCGACAGTTCAATCCAGGCCACTTTCTGGATAAAGATGGAAATTTTGTAAACAGAGAAGCATTCTTACCATTCTCAATAGGTAAGTGCACTAAAGAGGAATTTATTTCATGTAATAGTAACTTAAGTAACTTAACATTCATTCATTCCTCAGCATAAACTGGGTAAGCATCTATAAATAGGTATATAGACACTTTCCATTGTTTTAAAGATATGAATCATTAAATGACAAATTAATTTAATTATGGGGAAAAAATGACAAAGTCTGCAGAAAGTAAACTACAGATCCTTACTTAACTGAGAAAGTTAGAAAGTGAGATATAAAGATATAAAACTTGCCTTTTTCTGTATTTTAACAGGACACCGAGTATGCATGGGTGAGCTGCTGGCGCGGATGGAGCTCTTTATTGTCTTCTCCACCTTGTTGCAAGCCTTCAGGTTCATCCTGCCAGAAGGAGTGAAAGAAATCAACACAGAACTCGTTTTTGGCAGCACAATGAAGCCACCTCCATACCAGCTCTGTGCCATTCCTCGGTAGGCAACGGTGCCCCACAGATTCAGGGAGTACTTGTGCTGCCAGATTGTCTATGCATGTGAATTCCTCTTGCATATCTTATGATTTGTGCTTTCCTTATGACAATATTTATCTTAGTCTCTTCCCTGACAGATGCTTTTCAAATGGTTACCTTCTGACAAGACCTGTACCTACAAAGACTTAATCTTTCATTCTTGTTTTCTGCTTGGAAAATCTTGGTAAAATTCTCCTAAAACATAACAAATAAAGGCATAAAGGCAATAATCTGATTTGGAATTATTGCTTAATTATTTCTAACTGGAAACAAGATTAAAAGAAAGAATTTTAAGCAAAGGGTATACATTAGAAATCTCTGGATTAAAAACTGGTGCATTCTTTTCATAAACTACAGTTGCATTTGGGAAGATAAAAATGAACAAACGAAAACTTTGAAGTGAAGCAGAGATCTGAGTAAGTCCATTTCCTTGAAGTGGTCAAGTTTAGTTTTATGCAAGCTTGCTATGCAACTCTACCATTATCTCCTGACAGGACAGTTTAGGGTTTCACCCACTAAAATGGGTGATATTTCAGTCTTCGAGCTGAAAATAAAGGAGTGTCTTCATCAGGTAAGGTGTGAAGAGCCTTTCAAAAGACAGGGAAAGAGGTGTGCCCTGCAAGACAAATGATAGCAGCAAGGGGACAGAAAGTGATGATTAATTGTTCCTTTCATGGTCCCTGTGGTTGACAGCGACATGATAACATGTTTTTTTTTAATGACAGACAGATGACCTATCTGGTGCTGTTTGCCCCAAATTTTCCAATAATTTATTCAGCTTAATTTATTCTTTTCAGTCCTTAATTGAATCTTTCTCAGAGTTAGCTTACTTGACATAATTCAGTGTAAATTAGCGTATCACCAGCAATAAGAGATTTGGCACTGTTAAAGACTTCTTGAAGCCTCTTTTAAGCATGGTCACTAAATATCTGCAAATTTGACTATTCAACTTTTCATAGTTCAGTTACTAACAGTAAAGAAGCAATTTCTTGCCAGCATTGGGAATATGTTTTTTGCTTGTATGAGGTACAAGGTGAGTACTGTATGCCTACATCTGAAGGCTTATTTGCACACACTAATTAAGCTTTCTAAAAGATTAAGGTCATTATCATCTCTATTTGTTTTGAGCACCTCTTCAGATCTAAAGAACCCCAGTTTAACAGGTAAAGATGTGTGAAATCACTGATCTTTATGMAAAATGTAACCTGGGTTGCCAGTATTTTCCCCTGCAGGATTACTTTTAGGACTTGGTGCAACACTTTTCTCCTCTGTGAGCTGGATGGCAGCATATCCAGATATGGTATCCAGATAGGTAGAAGTCTGGTATGAAGTCCCTCTGTGCTGGAACTGCAAATGTCCTCCCTCTCAGTAACTCCATGTAGGTAAGAGGATACCTCATATGTGTCCAGGTGGTCATCAAGAAGAGAGTCTGTAACAGGAGCAGATCCTTGCCTTTAGCATCAGCGTTAATATTACTCAATCCTAAGGTATATTTGGCAGATACTAYTGCTGGCAGCAGGTTTGAATCTATCAAACCCCCACTCCTTGGGGATAGAAACACTTAGGAGTTTCTAGGGGATGCACAAGGGAACACTTGGTTTCCTCTAGAACCTCTTCTTTTTCCCCACAACTTTGTCTCACCTCTCCCAAGTATTCTATCTACAGTCTGTACAATCCTTGCAACCTTCTCCATTTTCTCCCCATTCTAATTTTTCCACTACTTGTTTTTGTCCTTTAGTGCCACGCTCTCCCTGGACTACTCTTCTACCAGACATTATTCAGTTCCATGAGCTGGTAGAGGGAATAAGGTCACTTTCACTGTCTTAGATGGGATAATAAAAATTGATAGAAATATAGTTTTGAGCTCAGTCTCTAGACAAATTATTGAGGCTCTTGAAGCATTAATGTTTTTATTTTACTTTTCAGATTCTTTTAAATCTGCCTTGAATATTTGAGCCTTAAGGATCTGCAAAGATTGCAAAATTTTCCAAAGTAAACTGAAATATCATCTTTACAAGAATTGCATTTTGTTACGGTGTAGTCATCCATGGTAAGTGTCTGTTCATACTCCATAGGGAAAATTACATGTGTCAGATTAAATGCAAACTTCTGTAAGTGCGAAATTCCACTCTGAACATGCTTGCCATGCAAGCCATATGTGTTGTGGCTCTAAAGGAAGCTCTGCTCCCCATCCTTGGAGATACTCAAAAGCTGCCTAGACACAGCCCTGGGCAAGTGCTCTAGGGGACCCTGCTCGAGGAGAGTGGTTGATCTCTTCCAAACTCAACCCTTCTGTGATTCTCTGAAAGTTAAGATCAAAGCTGGTTGCCATAATTTCAAATTGATTTTTTTTTCACCTGCTGTAGCAATATAAGAGGATATATTAACATATTTTTGAACTATTTTTTATAAACCCATGTATAAGTTATATCTACCAAATTCTTTCACATCTATCAACAAGTATAGTATCTGCTACAAGTAGGTTGTAGCCTCCTACAAAGGGCTACTATGGTTAGTAGCCTACAAAATGCTACTACGGCATGGACGGCACCCCAGCTTGCACAACCCCAGAGAAGGGCAGCATGTGAGGCCTCAGGGTGCGAGGAAGCCATTTTAGGAGCTGGGAGCCACCATCTTGAGTGGACGAGGCAAAGGGTGGCAGGGCAAAAGACATAAGACTTTATGCCAAAAGACATAAAGAAAAAGCATCTGGACCGAAGCCTGGGAGACGACCTGAGGGCAGGGCGGGTGGATTGCTCCATGTGTAGCAGCTTTTGCAAGGCTGTCAGCAGCCTCTCAGGGAGGACCGTGCAGTGTTTAACAGCCGCTCCCCGCCATGGCTGCACAACGAAGGGGAGAGGAGCTGGGCAGTGCCATCTCGTGCCCGCTCCCTCCTTCAGAACGGCTGCACATTGACCTGCATTCTGCAGGCTGTGTTGCCTGCCCTTTTCCTAACTGCTGCTCCCTTCCTGCAGCCAGCTACAAGCCTCCATTTTAGACTGGAGAAAGARGACGTGACTGGAGCGGGGGAGAGCCTCGGCCTCGTGGAGGACCTCAAAGTCTGGAAAAGATGGAACATCTCCCTCCTAAAGGAAAACCTCACCAGGAAACTGGGCTTTAAAGCCAGTGATTCATAATTGATAAATATAATCTAGGTGAGAAGTAGAAGGATATACATCTATTAAATATGCTTCAACATGAAAATGTGATGAGTAGAATGGAAAAGGAGTGGTTGTTAATGAAGAGGGAGGGATGGGGGCGGGCAAAAAATAGTTGCATGAAGTTTAAACTCTGATGAAAAAACTGGTTAAGCAGCCAGTCTACACAGAGTATATTCAATAAAGACAAGCCAATAAAAGCAGCAGTTAAAATGCTGTCAATAAGTCAAATTCTTATAGCTTCGGTTGTATTTCTTCTGATTATGCAGTTTTTAAAATTACAACAAGCCCGGAGACAACTTCCTCCTGGACCAGTCCCTCTCCCAGTTCTTGGAACCTTGCTGCAGATGAACTTTCAATTTAATCGTGATCTCCTCATGAAGGTATTTATTTTCAGGTCTTTTCATTGATTATTATCCTTGTAATTTCCCATTTCTCTCGTTGTTTACTGTGTGAAAACATCCTTTCTCAATAACTGTTAGCTGACTGTTGTGAAACTGCACTCGGTTTGTTTTGGAACTGCTGATTTGGATGACAAAATAGGAGAAATTATTTGCAGGATAGATTTCCAGGCTAAGGAAACTTGTATTGAAAACATTGAATGTGCAAAAATCAATCTGATGCTTAAACCCATCAACTTTAAAAACTGAATTTGACAAATGCACATGAAATTTAATATTTGTTAGAATTAAATACTTTTGCAGATAAAGTATCAGATTTGTAAAGAGGGAAAAAATACAGTTTTAAAGACAAACTTTCACAGCATGTGTTTTTGATTTTCAAAACATGGATACTTTCTCCTTTGATCAGCAAACATATTTAAGATACGCTGTATATTGTGTATGCTTGCCAATCTGATAGAATTAAAAAAAAAAAAAAGTTTTTCATTACTTGTTTTTCAAGGACTGTTTCTACATACAAGACCATCCCTATCTGATTGTGTTTATCCCACTGCTTCCATAATTCTCATTAGATAACTTCACAGGAAGTTATTCAGAGGTTAAATATCTAACATCTTTTGTGAAACAGGCAATATTTGGTCATTTTTCTGATTTTTTTCTGTTTTCCTTTGTCTAGTAGTACAAATGATAGAAATGTTCTTGAAACAAATTCAGAGGCATGTCTTTCACATACAAAATACACTGGATGACATGATATGGATCTGGAAACAGAAATGAAGGGGTGGTTATGAACTGAGCCTGGGCTTGTATATAGTAATAAAGCCTACCTAATGTTTGTTGCCTTAATGGCAAAGATTTACAGCTTTGAAAAGTTGGAATATAAAGTTGTTTCAACACTGAACATAGGAAAAGACATTCATACTTTGTCACAGATAATTGTAAACTAATGAAAAATGTGGGAAACATGATTCCAAGGTTGGGCTGGTCCCATAATCAGTGCAGAAACAGGTTCCTCCTCTGAGGCATGTGAGATTTCTTCTGTGCTTTTCTGGCTTTTCTCCTATCTACAGCTGGCAAAAATTCATGGCAACGTGTTCACTTTATGGTTTGGATGGGCTCCAGTTGTCATACTGAATGGGTTTCAAGCAGTGAAGAATGGTATGACCACACACCCTGAAGATGTTTCTGGGAGACTGGTGTCTCCTTTCTTCAGAGCAATGGCCAAAGGAAAAGGTGAGTTTTGTCTGCCATAAATATTGCACAAAAACTTTGTCCTGGTAATTTACTCTCAAAAATACAGTAGTGGTAGGATTTGCCTATGAGAAATGACTACTAGGTGAACTGCAAAGTAGGGAGGGGTGAAATAGTCTTTGACAGTAACTGGAGGAAAGGACCAGTAAAGAAGAAAGGACCATGAAGCTTTGTGTGAAACACTCAGTGGAAGAGGCTCAGAAG